AWAWMAMMAYAAAAAAAGTCGTTCACGGGTTCGAGTGTCATCTCAGTGTATAATACATTTATTACTTGATGATTCAGCTATTGCACTAAAGCATGTATGTCGTTATTTTAACAGCCTAAAAGCACGGAACTTTGAAACAGTCAAGAAGAGGTTTTCATTGATTAAGAATGGTGCCGTCTACCTGCGTTCTGATTGGACGATGTGGATCATTATGGTTCTTTTTTGGTTGGTTCGGAGCGGAAGTCAGTTCGAGATTATTCGAACCGTAAGTCTTCGAATTATCYCTACGATAATCGTAAAAAATATTCTTTCAAAATAAGAAAACCTCACAAATTTAGTACGATGAAAGAATTGACTTCTCGGTGAAAAAAAACAACAATTTCAATCAAATGCAGGTAAACTGTTACAGTGTAAATACAAAGTTACCCTAAGATTTTAACGTAGGTTCAAACACTTTCCTATCCAATTTTGTAGCTTTTCTTTCTGTTYTTCGTGATATCTCAAAACACTAGCCAACGTTTGCAGTTCATTTGTTTTCAAGCTTAGTTTTTAATCTATAAAATCGCTTAAAGTTCAATAGAAATTTAACCTAGAATTTTCATTACATATTTCCTTCTTCTTATATCTCAAGTCTGCTGTAGCCAAACTTTTGCAGTTCATTTGTTTTCACTTTCCAATAAAATACAAAATTTTCAAGTATGTTTTAAGGACTTTCCTATCGTCCTATTTAATAGTTTGGTTTCTGTGTGATATCTCAACCAAGTAGCTAGAAAATTCTAAGCAATAAAACAAGCCATTTGTTTTTGTTATTACGAGCATTGCATGAATGATTAGCCTAGATTAGCGCTATAGCTTCTATAGGCTTGGCGGTATGATGAATAGCCCAGGGTGTTTTGGGCCATACTAAAAGCTAATTTTAAAACGACTCACTCGTATGATTATGAAAAAAAGCTGTGCTTTGAACAAAATAGCTCTAGGCACTCTCCTGTTGCTTATGGTCGTATTGTCTTGATAAAAGAGCTTGGATCGTGATGAAGTAAGATATGAGTGAGAAATATTTTTTCAAATTCAGTGCGTACAGAAAGTTTGAGAAAAGATCTCAATCACCTTGAAGTTACTAAAACTTTAAGGGGACATACTTTATGGGGACATCACTCAAATAAACGTAGAAATATTATTTGGAGGTATTACTTTCTAGACCATGAAACYTTAGATAAACATGAGAGCGGCATCGTTTTCAAGGCTTGCCGGCTATTCATGCTTAAATTAAAAACAGAAAACACCGTCGAAAACACTTAATTTTTCTTTAGATTCTCTCTGATTTTGTGTTCCGTTACAAGAGCGTGTCCCCATAAGATTMCATTGCTTCATTCATATGAAATTTCCCCCTGGAGTATTGTATTAAGTCTTGCCAAAACTCATTTTCGCGGCTTAAGCAGAACACCTTTTTGCCAGATGTGTGTCTCAATCGGGCTAAATTTTGGACGGAAATTGAAACCAGTCCTTGTATACTAAAGCAAACCAAGTCTAATAAGAGTGCCTTAGGCGGTGGTGGACTCGAAAATAAATACCTGCTTGTATAAACTAATGTATGCCAAGTTTTCTACACTTTATCCGAAAAAAATACATGCTACGAGAATAACCTACAAATAGATTTAGTTTTGGGAAAATTTACGTTGGATTAAGAGATCTCAGAGCTGCATAAACAATTTGAAAAATAAATTCATTTTACATGCATCAGATAGCAGTGAATTCAGTAACAAACTGATAGCAATATGCTAAATTGTATTAAAATTATACCTTTGGATCGTCTTTTTGCTTCAAGTCTTGTCGGTGATGATTCTGTAGTGAGCGTCATATTTGAACAGTTCGTCTGCGTGACATTTACTGTCGAGTTCGACCGCAGACCTGACGAGGACGGCGAAGGAATACTATTGGACGGTGATGATCCAGGCCCTGGATCGCCGACTTCTTTCTCTCTCTTTATCTTCRCCTCCATGTGATCTTTCTACGACTTCGGGTAAACAATTCTACGAACGCTCAGAGAAACATCAATGAAAATCCAGTTCTATCACTCTATGTCTATGTCGTCGTCATTTCTTCATTGGCTGGTTGTTTGGATAAGAAGCGACGGACAATTCAACAACTACTTGTTTGACACTTCCACCCTTCTAACGACATCCTTCCATAATTGTCGGGACCTGAAGTGAACGAAACGACAGGAACACGTTTTAGAATGAAAATAACTTATCGGCAAGCTATTTACAATCTTGCCTCCCTGGCTCGTTCAATGACGTTATCGGTAGACCGTGAGGGGTTCGTATGGCCGAATTCTTAAGCCTGGGGAGGGACTCAATATGTGAATCATCGCCTGCGGCTAACGGCAACCTTGTTTGCCTTTGCGCGGCGCCGACACAGCTTAATTAAAACCGATCCATAGACAATAGCCTTTATCATTCTACCATTAATAGCTTCTACTTGCCGCCATATAATAAAATAACAGAATAATATTTAGCAGTAAAAACCCCAGAGTGATCTCGTCGGGGCGTCGTATTTTTAAATGTTCCACACTGGACTAAACTTAGGTCCTTTCACTCAGGAATGATCTTGTAGAACCGTTACAATCGAGCTGTGAGAAGATACCGATCAATTGAAAGACCTGAGCGCTGACAAGGTACAACCAAGTGTATCTAATACATAAGTTTACAGCACGGACATGTTTTTAAATTAAGCCTAGCGGATAAATATGCTAAATAATTCGTAGACGCGAAGTCGACATTTCAGCTGAAAGTGAATTTTAGACATATGCTGTGAAAGCAGTTGGTGGTGTTTTAGAGGCAAATCGTGATAAGAGTAGAAATACTCTTCATTTAGAAGCACCGTGTTAAGTGCTGAGTGCTGGTTCAATAAACCTTTTACCAGAATCATTGAAACTGTGAATTCAAAATAAACTCCTTTGTTGCAAAGTGCATATATATAGTCCACGATGAATAAGTAAATATGGAGAACATAGCGGCTCAATAACAACAAAATTCAAACAAAAAACTGAAATGCCGAAAAATGTATCAAGACRAACCAACACATTTTTGCTGGACAAAGGCTCTGCCTTAAGGATTCCAAGCCTTCTCTTTTTATGCTTTCACTTCTAGTAAAATCTATTATTTAAGCTTTATTCTGTAGTAGCTTTGTCTGATGATAACGATTTTGCGTCTTGTAATGGAAATATAATCCCTAGTAATCTAATATAAAATCGTCGATACAACACGCACGGCACGGTTTATATTTAATAACTAATTACCCAGTCCATGTATTATTTAGGCTATATYATTTTAGGCTGTAGTGGCCATTGCCGCCCTGGCTGACCAAGAGAACCTTGGTTCGATCCTAAGTGACTTAGCCTGCGTGCAGCCGAACTAACTATTTGTCCGGCTGCACGCAGGCTACAGTGACTTTACTCGGCCCTTTTTGGATAAAAAACACTCCTATATCTCACCGTGTTATTCGTATTGGACATTGCCTGTTGGCCGAGAGAAACATGGGTCGATCCTCAATGACAAGAGGGCGTATATTTTTAGTTCCCTATGGAACAATCCCACAATGCACTGCCATGCTAACTCAACCCAGCTTTTCCTCAACCTCGGAATGACTTATAGTCTTAAAGGGGCACTTGGATGAAAACGCCAGATTGATGAAATTTTTAGCCTGGGAGCCACTTGAAGTTGAGAAATTTTGGTTCAAAAGCAGAAAGAACAATAGGGTTGAGTAAATGACGTCATTTACTCACAATTTAGATTCTGAATAAAATTGATGATTTTTATCCGACACATTTTACTGTGAAGAAAATATGTTGCTTGGCTACTATTGGGGCCATATAGATACGTCTAACTAAGTTTAAAGCCATTTCCAATTTTTATCCATTTTCATTCACTGTTAGAGACGGGGAGAGGTGTACGGCTAAAGGATGCAATGTCGGATTCCTGGGAAGGAACAGGCCGCCGAGGCTAGAATATTTTCTCAAAAATTTGTTACKCGGTAAAACTGGTTTCTAAAACTTGTACGCAATGGTCTTACAAGACGATTTTACGAAGGGCGTAGCACGCGCAGTGGAATTTCTCAAGATCCAGAAAATTTCGCTCCGCACAAGCTGTGTAGAAAGTAGCTCTGCCTTTCATGAAGTTTCTTTCAACGGATACTCATGTAGGACGAACCTTTCCCATTTAATTCGTTCACGGACTTGGTCTCGTATGTGAATAGAGTTGTTTGTTGGTTCTCTTGGGTGATTCGAGGGTTTTTCTCCGGGTCCTCCGATTCTTCATCCATCCTCAAAAATCGGTCAAACTTTTAAATTTAAATAGTCCCCTTCACAGTTCCCTGCGCCATCTTGACGAACGGTGAGTTGGCAATGATAAAGAACTTGTCACATGTCTCTATCGTTGCAAGCTCACCGTTCGTCTCGCCTCGATGCAAAGGCACGGCTATCTTTCAAGATGGCGCCGGGAAAAGTGAAGGGGACTGGAATCTAATCCAAGTAGTTGAAGAAAAGTCACTCTGTGGAACCCTGTAAATTCCTATTTATTTTATTTTTTTTTTAATTTCATTAACTCAGTCTTCCGTCCGTAATTATTATTTAAATCTTCCACAATTGCTTGTATTTACATATACTATTGAAGAGACACGAATTGAATACCAACTGCATCAACTCGAGATCTAAAGCCATCACTGAATGCTACAGCACAGGCATTGTTTAGGTATTTAAGAAATAGATACAAAGAAATTCTCATTACTCCACAGTTGCTTTCAATCATGCAATCGCCAATCACTGATCGTCATTTGCCATTCACTCCTTCAACCATTTTTGAAATAAGCTTATACATGCAATGGCAAACTGCCGTATGCACAATATCTAATGGCTGTAATGCCCCGTAGATACCATTATGTATGCTGAGTAATTCTTATAGTGAAAGTCAAAAATCTAATAAGAATTTTGAAATAAGGGCCGGTGTACGTGAAGGTAGAGTAGCTCATGTCCAAGCATTTGACAACAAGAAATCCAATCGGGACTTAAAACTCAGGGAAAAACTTAAAACTTTGGGCAAGTGAACTGTGTGAACATAGCAACGATGACATGTACAATTGACGGCATGTCTCGTTAAACTCACGAATCCTGCTGAAACATGTATCCTTTACGATTGTAAGAGAGGAAAACCTTTCTCGGATTTTGAATGTTCAGCTTCGTTTTTATTCCAAGCTTTTTTTAAAAGCTTACCAATAGTGCCACGCAATATGTAAATTTTTGGCGCCATTTTGAAACCAGGTTACATGAAAACGATTGAACTTGTACTCAGTGATGTCTTAACTGTTTTACTTTTCTGGCGACACTTTGTTGAATAAGTCGATATGTTTTTATAAAACTTCAAATATTTTATATATATCTTTGATATAATTGGCCAATCTGAACAACTTTGTAAACCATGCCCCAAGATGTTTTGAAGACGTTTTTGATGAATGGCTCGAAGATTTTATTCTCTAGGACCTAAAATTGTTTTTCTAAATGTACTACTCTCAGATCCCTTATGAACTCATGTTGTCAAGAAATTAAAATATATCAGTATTTGGTTGATATTACCTCGCTATTTTTTCAATAAACCCTCGTTGGACGCTCAGCTTGTTATTTTWAAAAAAATATTTGAATAGGACTGATTTTTTTCTAGTGCTTCCCTTTCAGCTAGTAACAAATGACAAATTATTCTATAAAAAATTCTTCTTCGTGGTACTTCAAAACTATATTGAAAAAGATCAACAGAGACAGAATTGTCGATGATAAAAGTACACAATACCCCTCCGGGGTGCATCTTTTCATCCATTTAGTTCCATCTAGCAAACGTTCAGTTTATTTTACTCCAGTTTTCTTTTCCAGCCCTAGTAATCATATATCTAGCCGATTTATGGCGTTTTTTACTAATTACTTATACACCAAGTCAGAGGCTATATTTTGATTATAATGCATCCAACATTGTTTAGTGAAAAACTCAGCTATAGAATTGGTGCCCGACTGTTGTCTCTTTAGTACTAAGTCTTCAAACACGTTACCATTTATGATTATGCAGAGTAATACTACATCTGTTCCCCAAGGCTCTTTATTCAACGAGGCGGTTCCAGTAAGAGTTGTTTCAGCATAACAAATGTATGTTTTAACAAAACCTCTCATAACATCAACTCGAGAACCCAGCACACTTGATTTACTAAATTGAAAATCCCAAGGAGGCAGTATGTTCATGTTGTTCGAATCTAAAAAAATCCCTCGAGGCAGAATTTGTTTGTCTTCGAAGCCCTCCAGGGCAGTGGTTAACGGTGTGGGATTAGAATAGACAATAACTAGAAGATAAGCTTGGCGCCGTCTTTACTATGATCCTCAAAATGGCTCCTTTTGGACGACAACCTCCACCTGTTTCGGTTTTAGTTTAGTGAAAAACAAACGCTACTGGTCAATAGAATAGAGGGCGGATGATCAAAAAATATCTTTAATTATTTCATGATAGGAAAATAAAGGTATAACAATTGATAGAATGATCTCGATCGATCTGATTGCCTTTGATGTTCAAGTAGAGCGTTGAATTCAAGTCTCGATAAAATAAGATAGAAATCAAAATGATATGCCGGCTACACTTATAGACTGGAAGTGAGAGCATCAAGGGCTTCTCCTTTTATCTCTTTACGCATATATCATAAAAAAGATTAGTACTTGAGAAGGAAGGCTGATATTTATTAAACAGGTTTTTTCTTGTTTAGCTAAACAGCGCCGATATCTCTGACGTAATAATAATAGCAATTAATAGTTAATGATATATTTTWAATATATTTCTATACATATATAAGGCATGTCTGTACTGTGATATAAACGCGCTGGGAGCTGTAGAGCACGAGTGAAGCAAGCTTAGGAAAACGGTGACAAGGAGTAGCCTAATGTTTCTCTTRCTTCTCGAATTCTGTTCATTGCTATTCTCCGAAATAAGCGTTACTTTACCAGCTAATGATTGATATATTTCTATAATAGACTTTTGCAAGTTCTCCTTAACTATACCGGCATCCTTCTAGGACTGGTGGAAGAGCTAGTACAATATCAAACCGATCTAGAACTGGATCTAAGCTAGTCCAGCACTGAACCTATCTAGAACTGTATCTAAGCTATTCCGCTATTCCAGTACTAGACCAGTACTAGAAACCCATCTAGAACTGGATCTAAGCTAGTGCAGTATTGAACCCATCTATAGAACTGGATCTAAGCTAGTCCAGCACTGAACCCAYCYAGAACTGTATCTAAGCTATTCCAGTACTAGACCAGTACTAGAAACCCATCTAGAACTGGATCTAAGCTAGTGCAGTATTGAACCCATCTAGAACTGGAT